CTGTACTGAATGCAAGTTATACAAATTCTAATAGGGTATGTAGCAGTAAAAAAAATTAAAATAAATATTATGTTAGAAAGTAATACATGGTAATGAGAAAAAAGCAAGGAAAATTTTAGGACTTATGCATAAATGTACAAATATGCATAAGTTTAGGTAAGATTATCAAGGAAGGCATCATCTAACTAACAAGCAATCAACTAAGCAAAACAATTATGAAATTTAATAACATGATGTAACAAAATTACTGGGAGAAGTTTCTGTATAGAGAATGATCAGACAGAAGGCCTGTCTAAAGAGAAATTCCACTTGCATTAGAGTAAAAGGTGAAGTTGAGTCAATATGTGACTCTTAATCTTTCCATGCTCAAGGCACAGAAGGTTCATCTTCTCCCATTAGTGTGGCTACTGTTCAGGGACAGAGTCAATCACAAATGACAGGTATTCCCAGAAGAAATGGAAACACATATTGAATGTCGACTATGTGCCCAGCACATGAAACATATGTGATCTTGTATATGATATGTTCTTGCCTCCTGAAGTTTACAAGAACAATTAGGCTGTTATTCACTGGAAAGTTTTCCATGAATGCATAAAACTTACTGATGGTCAACTTAATATTATAGGTAATAGTGAACTGTGACAAAACCTTTTCAATTTAAAATATTTTGTTAAAAATATTGCATTACAAAAATTATGTTCTATTGTGAAGCCATGTACTAGATAATTTTTTTTTTCAATTATAGATGAGAATACCTTGTTGACTGGTAGAACATCATTCAGTTCTATAATAAAACATATAGAATTTACAGCACACTACTGATGATTTATGTAATACTCACATATAATAAGAGTATACACAAATTACACAAAGTTATAAAACTTGTGTGGCTTAAATCTACCTACAGACGAATACTCATTCCCTTCACAGTTAATAGCTAGTTATATACTAGGTATCATTAATATACACTAAATTCTTCGGTATTATCTGAAAATCATAGTTTGGATATGATTTAAAATGACAGAATGAAGAAATAAGGAGTAAAATCTTAAAAAAATCCTAATCTATGCTTTTGGAATACAGCCAAAAAGATCCCCCACATATATGAAATAAGCCTATAAGAGAATTCCTTTCTACATTTAAACTTGTTATTACTGCAGTGTGTTTCCTGCTAGCTTCGTTTTTATGATCATTTTCTAATTAAAACAATTGAAGATGAAAGAAAAGTGAGAAGTGGAAGAAAAGTGCATTATAGGTTCTACAGAGCTTTACAGGAGATTGTTGCTACGAATAAGCCAAAGTTTGTGGAGATAATAGGTCTGCTCTTTTATTTGAAATTTACTTTTTCTAAGAAGTACCTAAAAATTGTCCTTAGAATCAGAGTTAGGAGATATTTGAAGATAATGTAGTAAAGATCTATCTTTACTACACACACAAACTTCACACATAGCTGTGGAGGTCAGACAACTTGCAGGAGTTAGTTCTCTCCTTCCATTATACAGGTTCCAAGATTAAAGCCAGGTCCTCAGGTTTGGTGGTAAAATGCCTTTACTCCCTGAATCAATTATTTCTCTCGTCCCTGACTTTTTATAACAGAAAATAAGGATGAGGATGTAGCTTAGTTGACATATACAAGGGCCTGAATTCGATCCCTAGCACCACATAAATTGGGTATGATGTCACATGCTTAGAATCCTAACAATTGAGAGGAGCAGGTAGGAACCTCAGGAGGAGTTCTAGATCATCCACAACTAGATAGCAAGTTTAAGATGAGCCTGAGCTACATAAAATCCTGTTGATGTGGTAGTGGCGGCAGTTAAAAATTCCATCATTCTAAGTGCAACAAATTAGGATTTCAGACATCTGAGAATGTGTGTCCCCAAACAGTAATTTTAGAGGTTACTTCTTTCCCAAAAGACAGGGCTAAGAAGAAGTTTTGAGAATTTTACTAATCAGAAATGACACATTAACTGAAACTAAACAAGTATTCTCTAAAACAAAACACATCTACAATCTTTATTTTATTAATACTATCACAGCTGGGCATTAGTGGCTCACGCCTTTAATCCCAGCACTAGGGAGGCAGAGGCAGGCAAATTTCTGTGAATTTGACGTCATCCTGGTCTACAGAGCTAGTTCCAGGACAAGGTCCAAAGCAATACAGAGAAACCCTGTTTTGAAAAAAAAACAAACAAAACAAAAACCAAACCAAACAAACAAAAAACCCTCACCTATGCCTAGAAGCAACAGATGTAACAGACTCAAATCATCACATGCTTTTAATCTAAGACTGGGTAAATCACACATTGTATTTTTAGTTTCCCCATCTATAAACTATTACAAAGCCATTATAAATTTTAATGCAGTCTGAAGTATAACAGAAAATGATACAGTATATCAGTTATACATCATTGCACATTGTTTATAGGTTACTCAATTAGGCAAATACATTATACTGTGCTATTCTGCTCTTTGTATTTATAACCACTACATTTTCTTTTGTATCCTGATAGAATTTGAAAACAAAAATATATAATATGCAATGATAACTGTGGAAAATTGTGCTCCAAATAAAATAGCCAACTATGATTAACATGTATATAACTGAATGCATACACTAAGAATTCGCTAAAAGAAAAGCATGGAGCTGATGGAGCTGAATATTGACAAGCTCTCAACCAGTACACAGTGGCCAAAGGGAAAGGGATGGAAACAGCTACCAAGGTACCACTTATGGTTCATTCTATCATCTTTCTAGAAGCCATTATAAACTAGCTTTCAAAATAGGAATCGTTTCAAGCCAACTGCTCCCTAGTCTCACACGAGTGTGTTTAATACACTCTTTAGCACGTAACCTTCAGGTTATCTTTCCCTTCAAGCTACCTCCTGGAGCACAAAGTGCTAACAGGATTAGACTCAATCTTCAAAGACTCAGTCGATTTCCAACAGTATTAAAAAAACATTATAAATGTTAGAAAAACATATAAAACCCAATGGAAATTGGGTATGATAATTGTGTGAGCCAAATTTTTTAGATACAAGTTCAAGAGGTGGGAGAGATCTTAGAATCTATCAGAGATCAAGAATTCCAACGAGAGGATGGCTTGGGCAGTCTGTGGGCCACCGGCCATGGGGCTAGGATCTATCCCTAGTACATGAACTGGCTTTTTGGAGCCCATTTCCTATGGAGAGAGACCTTGTTCACCCTAGACACAGGAGGGAGGGCCTTTGTCCTGCCTCAGTGTGGTGATGGGACAGACTTTGTTGACTCCCCATGGGATGCCTTACCATCTCTGTGGATCAGAGGTGGGGTGAGGGGGAAGGTCAGGGGAATTAAAGGAAAGGAGGGAGGGGGAACTGGGATTGATAAACAAATAAACAACAACAACAACTAAAACCTAACTAGAAATCTATAGTAGAATATAAAAAGAACATGAAAATTCCAGATAACATATCCAGATAACATATGCACCTAGTAAAACCAGTATTCACTGAAAGGTTCATGACAAAATACAAGAAATTATGTCAATAAACGCTAATGTCTTCACAAATTTTTCTGAATATATTTTATTTCTGGTACAGAAGTCAGCATAAGCATTATACAGAAAGATTCAAAAAGCAGAAAATATAGTTTTGTACTTGTCTCGTTTCTATCTGCATGGAAGGAGTGAGATTTCTAGATTAAGTGAGAAGAATCAAATCAATTTTTAAATTAATGTGTTAAACAAAGAAAAAGTACATTTATAAATCCCATAAATAGAATAATAATATAAATTATCTTCCATAGAAGCTTATGGATGGAGTTCAAACATAATTTCCAAAGTAAAAAGTAAAAGGTAGACTGTTCACTAGCTAACAGAAAAGTGAGACACCCCAAGAGTGATGTGATAAAGCCCCTCCAATGTCATTTGATCACTGAGTACATGTAGTGACTGTGATTAATGCTTGAGTGACTTTCTTCAAGGGGAAAACAATTTAGGAACAAAAGAAACTAGATCCTTTCAAACTAAGACTTTACAAGGAAATGGGGGAAAAATCAGTTTTACATGTGGATCTATATGCCCAGATAATCACACACAATATTGAAAATACTGCCAAGGTCTACCAAGAATAACAATATATTTGTCACCCAGGTTATGTGTTTTAATTGCCTCCCAATGCTCCATGCCCAAGAGGAGTAAATGGTATGTAGTCTAATAATACTATGGTAAAACTTAATTCCTTGCATTATTATCATTTTCTAGGAATTTAGACTATCTGTACCACAGTAAGAACCAACCCTTTGTATTTGGTTTTTAAGCCTAAATATTTTTGGCACACAGATTGACATTTTAGAATCCTGTTTTTATTCATTCAACACATTCCTATATTAGAGACAAAAATATTTGTGAAATTTAAAAAGAACTTCTTAATTACTAATACGGTACTGTGACTTCTTTTAGGCTAACATGAAGAGAAAATCATGATGCTTACAATTTTTTCCACAGCTATTTCCTTTTTTCTCATTATTTGGGCTAATGTCACCTTGTTCCTTCTGGGTTGTTGTGTTGGAAAGTGGGCAGTGGGTGAAGCAACTTGAAATGACTCAGTTCTAGCTAGAATGAATTAAGGTAAAGGCAAGAAGCCAATGAAAAATGCCCTTTAGCACACTTATAAGAATGCCAGGAAAAGGCAGTAGAGAAGTCTCTTAAATCTAAAATATTTTAAAGGACAAAGTAAAATTGGCATCATGAGCTGAAGACTTAAAAAATAAATGCATGAGAAGTTATTAAAATTATGTTTGCTTTCTTAACAAAAATTGTGAAATATATTAATATAGTATTATTCAAATATTTAGAAATAGATATTATTATATAAACAATATCAGAACAGTCAGTGTCAAGGCATTATGTAAATTAATAATGCTCCAAAGGCAAACTAAGTTCATCATGATTCCACTTGAACATGTGTCATAAGAGAACATTTATAAGTGACTGAACATAAGGATTAAGACCTCTTACCCCGTATTTGCATTGGCGGGATGTTGCTCCATACTGGAAACGACACTGCTCATCAGCATCATACACCTGACCTGGGGCCACAGCTGGATAAAGAAAGTCACGCTTGGGAGGCTCATTATCAAGGCAAGTACCACGGCCTGAACTGTTCAACATAAAGGATCAAAGGAAATTAGGTACTCTGTAGACTATTTCACTCACAATTATGAAACCATGTGTTGAGATCTTTGTGATAACAATTTGATGCATGAAGACAACACATTGCACTAATTAATAATCATATAGCAAAATAGAGTAGTTTTACAGACACATGAATGAGAGCTCCAAATTCTTTTTCTCCAGCACCAAAACACAATAGAAGCATCTCAGACAACAATATGAAAATGTCTTCTTGGCCTTTAAAATACTGGTTTAAACTAGTTCTGAAGGAATCAAAACAGAATTTCATATTACTCTAAGTTTCTTGTTTGTTTTCTTTAAAAATATGACCACATCTGGTAGTAGAATTAAAAACATGAATTGTGGAAAATTAAACAAAAATAATTGTAGCTGTAATCTTAAAGACTTAAATGTATACTCTTAGACAGACCGAAGGATGCTATCTATGTATGGTAAGACATAGCATTAGTAACTGGCCTGAACGGCAGCTGGGGCTAAGGTCCAAAGGTCTCTCTCACATACACTAGAAATGTTTAGTCTCTTAGAGATTTCTTATTTCATCTAAGGTCATCATAACTAGGAAAAGAGAATGTTCCCTTTCTACATAAGTTCTGCTTTACAAAGTATGCCTTCACTAAAACATAATATTTTAATTCAGTGGAACAAATAACATAAAGGTTGCCAAAAGCTAGACAGAATACCTTAGTTTAAAGAGCTTTAGACTTTGCTAAATATAATTGTTCATTTTTATTTATTCAGTGTGCATAAAATAGGACAGATGCTTTTTTACTTTCATTTCACATGTGAGTTAGAATTTTTAAAGAATTCCTATGCCAACACTTAAAAATTTTTTCCAACATTCCTGTCCATTGTGCCAGTACTTTTGCTTTTTTTCCCCAAATCTTTTCCATCCACTTTGCCAAAGGAAAATAACTTCACAAGTTGAAGTTCCTCAACTGTTATTTAGGACAGCACAAATTTTCATTTACAAACAGGGAAGGAAGAATCATACAAAACAATGAGTTTCAAATTCACCTTTTTTTTAAATTTCTTAAAGTACAAAAGCTAACTTGTTAAATAAAATGTCTGTGTACATAGCAGCAAATTCACATGTTTAAAACCTGAACTATCTGTACTATTCTTGAGGTGGCCCAGACCAAAGGGATACAAGATTGCCTTCTCTGCGCTACGTTTGTCTTTGTTCATACTTAAAGAAAATGATGTGACATTAACACTTCACTGGCACAGATGAACTCTGACATTTCAGGCAGCACTGCTCAAGGCTTGCACCTGAAGTCATGGACATTTACTGTTAGATGAATTTTAAAAATAGCTTTTTTAATATTATTAGGTGTAAACTTCATTCAAGTAAGGTCCTAGTAGTTACAAAAATGTATAAAAGTTAATGACAAGGAGTAGTATTTTACAGTACAATAGTATACAATGAATATTTTGATACTACAGAATATTTATGGGATGAGTAGACTAAACGATTGACTTCTAAATTTTCTTTCCAAATCATAAGTTTCATCTTCATTTACAACAAAACTATAAATATATTTATGAAAGGAATTGAGCTTATACTAAAAATAAGTAAATACTATTGTAAATCAAAAGAAAAATATAATTATATACTGAAGATTTACATATAAGGCCTTGTAGGTTATAAATATTTATCAGTAGCACAACAAAAAAGTGTAGGACATAATTACCTAACTGGCACCAGTACAGAACCTGTTACAAATAGTACGTACAGTGACTTTCAGAAACACAGAAAATTAAGCTGAAAAGCTCAGAGCTAGAACTATGTAACTTTCAAAAGTGAACGTAGAGGTAGATACACAGAGGAAGTAACTTTTTCCTGAGGGTAAAACTGGCTTCATTTAGTAAGAAGTGCCTGTTTTGAGATACAATGATCTTCTAACCAATGGTTCATATTCTTTAAAAAATAAAAAATAAAAAATTAGAACAGACTAGCACTGAAAGGGCCGCGAGAGCCAACAGTGCCAGGCATGGTGGGAACTAAGGCCAAAACTTTGAGAGAGTTGGTCCCCAAAGTGCACTCTTATTTCAGTTCTCTGGAAGCATCTACTTCTTTCGTATTAATAAATAGATAATTAAATGGCTAGCCAAGGCAAGATCTCCTTGTCTGGTACACTTTACAGTAGATTAAAACACTCATTGAAATAAAATATAAAAGGAAACCATACACATATTTTAAAAATTAGCCCATGTTTAGGAGTGCTTATCAACAAAGGCCTTTAGAATCGTGATGCTGTCTGTATACGACACATCAGCAAGGCTTGGCGGTCAGTCAGGTGACCTCAAGTAAAGCAAGTATCTGTGTGGCTGATGAAACTGTTTCTCCAGCCCACATGTTCTCACTTCCTGTAAAGCTAGCACTGTCCTCGTTGTTACCACCTGGTAACAAGGCAAAGCTTTGATGAATGTATTTGAGTTTAGTTGCATATATTAGTAAAATGTATCTGTTGTTTTCCTGGTGTCTTTTCTATTGCTTTCAATTAAGTGAAGTCTATAGAGCATTATTTATATTATTATTATTATTATTTGGTTTTTTGAGACAGGATTTCTCTGTGTAGCCCTGGTTCTCCTGGAATTCATTTTGTAGGCCAGTCTGACCTCAAACTCAGAGTGATCCTCCTGACTCTGCCTCCTGAGTGTTGAAGTTAAAGGCATGCACCACTACTGCCCAGCTGAGCATAATTATTATTAATTGGCTCTTTAGGCAAACAATAATTCAAGATATTTTCATGCTTGTAAGCTATCAACTACCCTTCTTGAAGATATACAGTCATAGACACAGAAGGCAAAGAACACATATCTGTGCGGTGTGGATTTAACTATATCTGAAGAGTTCTCTCTTTCAACTCCTCAATCCCTTCCTCTCCCCTCTCAGTCCTGTGTGTGTGTGTGTGTGTGTGTGTGTGTGTGTGTGTGTGTGTGTGTGTGTAACCAAAGAATTTCTGAGCACTCAATTCAAATGAATTCTTTCCTATGAGTAACTGCTCTTCTGATTTTTAAACGTTCATGAGGTAATGTCTGATTTCTGATTTTACATTAGGAACTTCACTCTCTAACCCCCGCCCATGGTATATGCATGTATGAAAATGTGTGTAAGGGTACAGTCACCCCATAGTTGTGTGGAAGCCAGAGATTAGTTTCAGGATGTCTTCTCAATTATCTCCATCTCGTTTTTGAGACAGTCTCTTACTGAACCTGAGCCAGCTGTCTTAGTTAGACTGGCTGGCAATCAAACACCAGGATTCAGGCAGCCCTAAGCCTTCACACACACACTTTGGGCCTACAGGTATATTTCACTGTGCCTGGCCTTTGGCATGGGTCCTGGGATCCAAACTTAGGTACTCATGATTGCATACCAAATATTTCATCCACTAAGCCAGTGGTTCTCAACCTTCTTAATGCTACAACCCTTTAATACAGTTCCTCGTGTATTCTATCATAAAATTATCTTCAGTCCTACTTCATAACTGTAATTTTGCTACTGTTATTAATTACAATAAAAATATCTGATATACAGAATATCTGATATTGACCCCTGTGAAAGGGAAGTTTGATCCCTCGGTTGAGAAACACTGCACAAAGCCATCTCCCAAACCCTACATTAATGATTCTTTAAAATCAACTTGTGTTTAAATTAAAGACCATCATATTTTACATACCAATCCCAGTTCCCTCTCCCTTCCATCCTCCCATTCTCCCCACTAATCCCCCATCTCACCTCCTATCCACTACTCAAGGAGGGTGAGGCCTCCCATGGGGGATCATCAAAGTCTGATACATCATTTGGGGCAGGTCCTAGGCCCTCCCCACTCCACCCCCCCCCCGTATCTAGGCTGAGAGAGTATCCCTCCATAGGGAATGGGTTCTTGATGCCCATTTGTGCACTAGGGATAAATACTGATTCCAGCCCCCCTCCCAACTGACACTCACATTCAGGGGTCCTGGTTCTGTCAGCTACTAAATGAAGGTTCTATGATGGTATTTAAGATAGTTATCAGTCTCATTATAGGGAAAGGGCATTTAAGGTAGTCTCTTCAGTACTGCTTAGATTCTTAGTTGGGGTCGTCCTTGTGGATCCCTGGAGATTTCCTAGTGCCAGATTTCTCATTAAGCTCATAGCAGCTCCCTCTATTAAGGTATCTCTTTTCTTGCTCTCCTCTGTTCTCCCAACTCCACCTTCCTGATCCTTCATGTTCTACTCTCCCCTTCCTTTCTCCTATCTCCCCCCTCCCCCGATCCATGCTCCCAATTCACTCAAGAGATCTTGTCCCTTTCCACTTCTCAGGGGTCCATTAAGTCTCTCTTAGGTTCTTCCTTGTTTCTTAGCTTCTCTGGGGATGTGGATTGTAGGCTGGTTATCCTTTAATATTACTTTTAAGTTATCATACAAATTAATGAGTTTTGTTGTAGTTTCTTCATACATCACCATATTTTGCTTTTATTCATTTTTCTCTCCTACAGTCCTCCACCCCACCCCCCGCCCCATCCTCTCTTGCTGATCTCCTAGATCCCCATAATAGAATTCACAACAATAATTTTTATTCTGTCTGCTTGTGACAAGGTCTCTTAATAGAGACCAAGGTGGCCTTGATTGTCCTGTCTCAGCCATCTCAGTGCTTACAGGAGTATGCTGACTCTGCATTCCTCTCAAGAATGTACTTCTTCACTACTCATCTGCTTATTTTAGGACTCCTTTTGAAAAGGAGTTGAAATACTCCATTAAAGATTGGGTCACATAACTTATATGTTCATGTATCAATATATCTGGTATTTCTAATCTCTTTTTATAAAAATGTTACATAGTCTTATACTTTATAATGTTCTTATAGGAAAACAGAAGCCATAGAAAGTTCTAGTTTAATCCAGAATTTAGTGAACTAGAAGCCATAAGTCTTACTACACCAAGCCTAGTGCAATCCATACCAATATCAAAATGACAAAGCAGTGATAACATAGATATTTTCTATAATTTTTTCATTAAGAGCATTTATTAAAATAGTTTAAAATAGTTTGTGCCTTAAGGGTCACATAAAAATTTTTTCATTCAGAAAACTTAAACTTTGCTCATTACTAAACTAAATATACAGAGCTATTAGTTTGCATCTGTAAGAGGCTATACTTTTATTGTATTTGTCCAATGTAAAACTAGATGCATAAAATTAAATTTAAAATTACTTTTCCAGCAGTTTACATTTCCCAACAAAAATTCCAACCCTAGTTAATGTGTTAAAATATAGAAAATTATTAAATTAATAATCTGTATTTTTATTTAATCTTCAGAGACAGGGTAAATATATATCAACTAAAATATACATCTTTGTTGATTATGAAAATTTCATAGTAAATCAAAATATATTTATATTTCCAAAACTCTTTGCACTGTGTGGGAAAGTCATTTTTTTGTACCCCACATTTAATTTAGTGAGCCTTTATTTAGAGTCTCAAAGTAACCTTGAAAACAAGAACATGAGCCAAATTTTAGTCTCCTATCAAAATGTATAGCTCTTTATAAAATATATCCTCCTTTCTTTGTTTCCAGAACACATGAGGATGCAGTGCTAATTGAAATTTAAAGCTGATTTTTAATAAAGCAGATTCTAAAGAATGGAACTTTAGTGTATACAGTGGGCCAATCTGAAAGGACTAACTTGTGCACAACATTCTGTGCCTTAACAACGCAGGTGTACTTTAATGCTATCTGTTTTTTCAAAAACGTATGCTGATACATAAAAACTAAGCATGAATTAGGTTGATATCACTTACATCAAGTTAAATGTCTTATCTACTACCTTCTCATGAGTAACTTTATCATTTTATATAAATTAATAATGTTTGAACTAAACATAACAATGTAATAACATAACCAGGTAAGTGCAAAGTGATCTAAAATAAAACCTCGCTTTCCCGTCACTCACTGTACAACATGAATGTTTGAAAACAATTATGTTGAGGCTTCAAACACTCAAATCTTGCGCTGTTCATGGTTGACCCAATATCCACTCCACACACATTACAACTTGTCAAATATCCTCCAAGTGTGTTAGATATACAAAAGGAGAAACTTGTTTTGCCAGATTATTTCTTGAATACTATAATTTGGTGGAGGGTAAGCATAGACTCCACCTGAGAAGATGTTTTCCATTTAAAAGACTGAAGCTAAGCTTCAAAAGCAATTTCTAGATAGCAAATATGAGTGCTTTTGCCATCTTGTTCATCATAATGACTTCCTCAACCCTCTGAGGAGGCCATAACAAAGCCACTCCCTTGTCAGCTTCCACCCTTGTGGGAAATGGATTTTGTATATAACTTGAAATGGCAAGCAATTGTGCTATAGCTCCTTGAGAGTTCAAACAATTTGACAAACTTTAAATTGGGTAAATATGACTCACAAAGCCCCCATGTCTTTTAGAAATACTATGAAATTGCTCTCAACTACTTCTGAGTGGTCGGGAATGAATGGAAAACTGCCCTAAGTTACATCTTCCTGATTTTCTGTGCCTGGTAAACTAGCCCATAGTCAATGAGTTAAGCCTTCATACCAGGTTTATCTTTTTATATTTTCTGAATAAGTAAATAAGTGAGTCCCGCAGGCAGATAGGGAAGACACTACCTGCAAAGCCGTCTTCGGAAAACATCAGAAGCTGGCATAACACGTCCATTTTAACGGAAATGGATTCTTTATTATTTAATCAGGACGGCTTCTGGGCGATTCATGAAGCACTTATTGAATCACCGAGTTAAAGAAATCTGAAAAAAAATATTGGGAGTTGGTAAACACCATCTCCTGATTGATCAATATCACCTAGTGTTGCAAATGACATGAGAGAGGGCTCTGGTGGCATTTCAAGGCCATGTCTTTGGTCTTGTTTCTCCAGTTAAACAGTGAATAATGGATCTCTATAAGTCAGAGAAAGCTCATTGCTAAGTCACTGATCATTCTTGCTCTATACAGTTTCTAAGAAGAGGAAGGTATGCACTCTGTTGACTGGGTGGCAGTTCCTTAGCAATTACTTCTTTCAAGGTTTCTTTTTCTTGAAAAGAAAAGCTAAAATAAAGTGCTAGGACCCTTTTTGAGCCAACTACAAAACACAGATGTAAACTCAATCCTTGATCAAAATGCAAAACGCCTCCAAATTCAAATATAGATACAAATATAGATAAAGGCGTATCGCTCATAGCTGTTAAAGCAATTAAGCTCATTGCTTGGAAAATAAAACAAGGAAATCTTTTAAACTTGATATTTTATCTTTGTGATCTAGTCTTCTGATCTTTTTAATGAAGCTTATGTTTAAAATATTTTGTTACTTGGACAAATTATAATAAGATTTATTTAGTTAGTTTATTATTTGAGGAGAGGAGAGAATTGAGTTTTCTCCTAAGCCCCCTCCCCAACATTTACCCATTTCCTAGTGGTTTTAACTCCATGAGGAGGATACCCAAAAGAATACTTTTTATAAAATACAGAATAAATAAGCCCACTAGAATCCTGCTGACACTCATTTTGCTTATATATACAAAATACAGGAAAGCAATGAAGAATAAATAACGTCTTCAGAATAATTGCTTTCATTAATTCAATGGACTGCTATAATGTGGCGATTACTAGTTCTCCATCCCTCACCAGACCAGTGCTCAGTTCATTTTTATTTTAGCAGCAATCCAGAGAGTCCTTTGTATTATCCTAACAGCCGCAATACAGTCCCAACTACACAAGACCTGGCAGGAGCTCAAAAGTAGTCCATGTATCTATGTTTCCGTATGTTCTTAGTACATAAAAGAACACACAAAAATCAATACATGTCTACGGCACAGAAATCTTAGGCTGTGGTCCTTGAATTTAGATACAGGGCTGGTTCTCACTAATGAGCTGTATAACCACCAATGGTATAGAAACAGAATATGGAGGGGAAGAAATTGTACTTTTAAAACTCAAGAGAAGGACTGCCATTGAAGATACACACAAATACTGAGCATGTTACATGATTTGTCTTTATGATGACAGAGAGTAAGATTTTATTCTGAAAACAAAAGAAAGACAAGAGAGAAATTTCAAATCTGGCCGAGTTTCCACAAATAGGAGGGCCTCAATATGTTTACAATTTATGCAAATGAGTTCATAAAAAACCAACTTAAAAATTATATTCTCAATGCTCTGAATTAAAAGTTACCAATGATATAAAATGAATTGTTTATTATACTTCTAAAGCACTTCACCCAATCTAACACTATGCAGGTATAATATTATAATATTTTCTAAGATTAAACATTTTTAGTTCACAATATGGTTATTCAGAACAACTTCTTGAAATGAATTCACAATTGCATGATTGCATTAACAAAATTTTTAATGTCTATTTTCAAGATTCATCTTTGATTTTTGAATCAAGATCTGTGCTGGGTAATTTAAATTTTCTTTTCTACATAATTTTAAGTTTTCAGACTCTATGACCTGGCTACTAATAGTTAAGGAAATTTTTAAGGCACAATTTTATCCTATATAAACTGTCTGAGTTTAAAAGTTTTATAATACAATTGTGTTAATACAAAGTATAAGATAAGCTACTTTCTAAAAACAATGTCTGTTTTGCATTTAATCTCACTTCCCCAAGTGAAAAACTAGCACCAAACAGCTAAAGTAATAGGATAGCAATAAACTATTGCAACCTTGATGTTACTTAAAATAGTAATGTCTATGATTTTAATGATTATCAATTGATTTATATATTAGAGCATTGAACATTATGATATACAAAATATCTAATAATATAAGAAATATGATTTAAACTCACTTAAAAACTCATAACCCTTTAAGATTAAAAAGATAAACTATGCCTGGGCCACAAAAAAAGCAACACTCAAGTCTACTGGGTCCTAAAGTCCAATATGAGTGCCCACAGGAGTGATGTGAGGAAAAAAAATCTCTTACCCTAAACACAGTTATACTTGTGCTCACTCATATTTATAAATGTACAGAATCATATTCTTGGGATTTACATTAATAACAACGAATAAGCTTTCCAAACTATGGAAAAGCTGGACACTTAAATCCTTCCTCAAAATGCTCCTAGATGCTGAGTTTGGTTGTTGCTTTTATTTGTTGCTATTAGATACTTTGACATTTCTAAAGAATTCATTTTTTTCACCAACATCATGAAATACTGAATTACTGAATTAAAGTTTGGCTTATTCCCTACTAAATCATAGGAATGAAATTTATTTTTGTGAAAATGCTTCCTTTTTACTGAAAAATTCTAATCACTCATTAAATCAATCACACCTACATTGTCTTTTCATTTCTAAGATATTCACTGTTTGTGAAACACCTGGAAAATGTGCCACTGTGATTTATTAAAGTGTGTGGCAGAGGCCTGAAATGTAAGTGGGCCCAATAAAATTACTCATACAAAACCTGAAGCACTGTGCATTAGGCTTCCAGCAATGAGTTACTTCTAGAGCAATTTATCATTACTCTCCAGAGGTGACTTACTCTAGAAAGCTGGTGATATAGTCTCGGCTGCAGGCAGACCAGGAAAAGGGATTGGTATTTGCAGTAATATGAGCTGCCATTAGTTTTGCTGCTTCATGACCTTTCGTCCCACAAGAATTTCCAATTCCATCATGGTTCATACCAAAACTGTTTTAATGAGGAAGAAACAGAAGAAACATAAAAGAAAGAAGTAAGAAAAAATAAACAACTAGCCCGCTACACATCCTTTATTTCCCTATGGGGTCATTTATTAGTTACATCAGGCTTTGATCAAAAGAGACCAATCCTCTAAAGTTAATGTTAAAGAGACAAAAGCATAATTCAATGATACAATATATCTCTAAATCTCTTTGCATTATCATATGTTTTTACATGTTATCAGTATCACATGACTCAATCACTCTTGGAGCAGAAAAGGGTGCTGTATGTTAATCTATACTTCACAGATGAGAAAAGTAAAATTTAGTAAGACAAATGACCCATTAAAGATGATGTTAATTTTTTTTTTACAGAAGTCCACAATTACATGTGTCACTAATGTTCATTCTACTGTCCTCAATGCAGAAGGGAATTACAGAAATTGACAATGATTCATTGAAGTGAGGTGATGGCCAATCCCAGAAGCCCTTTCCCTTAGGTGCACTGACAAAGGAGACTGCCGTGCATAACTTACACCCCTGTGTGTTTTAAGAACCTTTGGAAAACCCTGATATATTTAAGGATTATGGCCATTTTTGTGTATGGCCTGCATTGTTCAAAGGTTTCCTTTCTTTGCCAATTTTTTTCTGTCCTAAAGATTTAGTGAATTCAAACTCACTTCAATAAAAAAAAATTGAGAAGGATATGATCAGTACATAAGGATACATTTTTTTAGATAATGGGCCAGATGATTAGATTGAATATTATTTCAAAAATAATTTACATTTCCACTATTACATTCTAGTAAATGTACATGGTGGAAAATTACCTTAAGCACAAAGCAGGTAAGGAGAGTTGCTAGAGGGAAGCTTGGACAGCTAGTCAGAACAGGTAATTACAAGGTGGTTAACAAATGTTAATACCAACACCTGGATGCTTGGCAGTGTACCCACGTGATTTTCACCTGACAGATGAGATTAAAGATACATTTAGAAAGACGATGGGATGATCGTCATAAATAGATTATGAATGAGTTAAAGGAAAGTATGTTCTTTACATATTGGATTAGAAGGGAGGAGCCAATAATTCATGTGCAGGAAATAACATAAACATAAAGAAAAATATATGAGAGTATTCAGACCCCTAAAACGAAACAAGTAACCTTCCACAAACACTAACAGCTGGCATCCTAATATGGGATCAACACATTGGAGACAACTTCCTTGAATCACCTTCTAGGAATATGAAGGCAGTTTCATGTTGAATTAAACACAATTGGATCAACACAACTACAAACAGTTTACATGTGAAACTCAAGAAAATGTAATATTCCTCCTGTTTAAAGCTGATACTGCTGTAATAACCCTACCACGCTACTTTTCACATGTGATAGTTAAAAGTAGCTCCTTTTAGCTAAAGTCTTATACCTATCCATGTCACATGGGTAGGCACAGGTAGCTAGCTATAAGGGAATCAATACTGAGAATCTCAATTGTCTTATGTACTCTTTTCTATAAATAAAAATGCAAGCTTCTACTTTTAAAGTCATATTTCCCTTATCTTACAGAAGGAAGACATATCTTTTATACAGTCATAATACAATACTACATTGCCTTGGAGTACATGAGCAAGGCTGCCAAGAACACAGACAAATGGAAACATTTTGAGTCCATATTAGAAGAGAATTTGTTTGATGTAACTCTTGACACCCTGGCCAGTACTTTTTGAAGTAGGGATTCCACTTGTTTGAAAATATCACTGTCTGTATAGGTAATCCAGCCTTCATTAAAATCAGTAGAGACCAGACATGTAAACTCTAGATCCATCATGGCCTGTGGCCCACAAAACACCACAATAGACACAAACTAGAATGTTTACATCCTAAGAGCTGCTTCAGATTAAACCAAGCTAGAAACACTTGGGTTTAAAATAGCTACACAAATGACAACATGGGGTTGGGGATGTTACCAAAGAAAAACCTTTAGGAAGCCATCTAGTTTTACCTGCTCTTCATTAACCTGGAAAATCACTAATTTTGGAGGTCTCACAGCTGAGCAATATACTATTATTATCTTCTGCCTGGCTTTGATAGCACCTCTGAATATGTATTTTAATGGTTTTCTGGGTCACTTTGCAGAAACTTGACATCTACTTTTCCTAACAAATGTTGCTTTCTGTTTTGATTTGTTTCTTAAGACTGTCTTTATGTATAATCCTAACTGGCCTCACACACAAATCCTCCCACTTCCGTGTGGCCATTTATAATTGCACAAATGTACACTACGTACTGACAACTGACAACCCTCTCCTCCTACCTCCCAATAATCCACTGCCATTCTCTCTCCTCCCCAGAGAAGTCTCCATCAAGTTCACATCTGTTTATAAAACACTGTCTATTAATTGAAACCTACAGCTATTTGATTTGATAGATGACTAAAATAGGATTAATAGACTTGTCACCTTTGGGTTACACCATGCCTACTCACTTTGCTGTCTCCATCTTTTGTCATACTATTCCGCTCTCGTGCGGACATGTTGAATATTTAAGAAAAGAAGTGTTACACATACAAACAAAAACAATAAGAGATTTGTTTAAGACAATTAACAGAAGGCTAATTAACTACTTGGCCTATCCACTGACTGGAATGATTGTCTGTCATCTTTCCCACCTTAGTACTTTCTTAGAAACTCGAATACTTAAAGTCCCTCATCCTATCATAGGGCTAGGACGTTCATGTAAAATGACAATGCCAAATATAATTCAGCAGTCTCTGAATCATGTTAATGACCCTGTAGCACAAGTACAAGGTCATGATGTTTGCACACAAGAAGCCCATCTTTGGAAACTGTCCATGCATGACTAATGAACACTTACAAAACTTTTCATTTGCTGAAGAAATTAATAAAAGCTGCCTGGTTAGTCTGGTCAGTGCTGGCTCCCTTTGGCTTAAGTCGGCTGGCTCAAGATGAAGACTTTATCAGAAACCTTGTCTGTCTTGTTCATATGACTTAGTCTCATTTCTATTATTTCTGTGCCAGAAGAACTCAACAGCCACTATCAGCATTATACACCATGTACTGAGACAAAAACTTACAGTTAACCACAACTCAAAAGTGAATAATTTCTTAAATGAATCTTTACCTAAGTTCTATTTTAACATTATTTATGGTTAGTGTGTGTGCATGAACAAGCCATGGCACACACACATGTGCAAGGGTGAGAAGACAGCTTTGTGGAGCTGGATTTCTCCTTGATCCTTTACATGGGTTACAGGCTTGTACAAGCTCTTTTACCCATCAAACAATTCAGGAGCCTTTCTCTAAATGACTATGATAAACTTATCTAGTAAGAGTTTTATAATGTCAACTGAATATAATATGCTAAATTTGTCATCTTGGTTTGCTTTAAACAGATCCCTATTGATGATATAGGAGAAAATGTTGGAAACCTCACAAACTCAGGTCCTCTTTTGTACAGCAAGCACTTTGCCCACTGGCCACCTCCACAACCCTCAAGCAGCATTATCATGTGCGATTATATTTATGTATTACATGTATTTGAGTATCGGAGACACACATGGAGGTCAGAGAACAATGTGTGGGAATTGATTTTTTCCTTGTATCCTGTGGGTCCCCAAGATCAAACCTATCAGGCTTGGCAGCAAGGGCCTTTAACCACAGAACTCTTTCTCATTGACCCCAAGTTGACAAGATTATAAGAACTACAAAAGGAGAAAAATCTTTCCATTTTCTGGTATCTTCTTTCTTAAAAAACTTCAGGAGGCATCACCATTCCTGACTTTAAGCTCTACTACAGAGCTATAGTTCTGAAAACAGCCTGGTATTGGCACAAAAAAAGACAGGTAGACCAATGGAATTGAATTGAAAATCCTAATATTAACCCACACACCTATGAACTCCTGATTTTCGACAAAACAGCTAAAATTATACAATGGGGCTAAGGCAGCATCTTCAACAAATGGTGCTGGCACAATTGGATGAGGGTGTGTAGAAGACTGCAGATAGACCCATGTCTGTCGCCATGCACAAAACTCAAGTCCAAATGGATCAAAGACCTCAACATCAATCCAGCCACATTGAACCTCTTAGAAAAAAAAGTAGAAGGTACCCTTGAACAAATTGGTATAGGAGACCACTTCCTGAACATAACTCCAGGGGCACAGACACTGAGAGAAACAATTAATAAATGGGACCTCTTCAAACTTAGAAGCTTCTGTAAGGCAAAGGACACAGTGGACAAGACCAAACGGCAGCCCATAGACTGGGAAAATATTTTCACCAATCCTATATACGACAAAGGGCTGATCTCCAAAATATACAAAGAACTCAAGAAACTAGTCAACAAAACACCAAATAATCCTATTTAAAAATGGGGTACAGAACTGAAGGAAGAATTCTCAATGGAGGAAATCAAAAAGGCTGACAGACACTTAAGAAAGTGCTCCACAAGAGAACTAGGAGAAAACGAGGGGGAGGAAAGGAAAACATGTGCAACCAGAAAGATTGAGCCTGATTAGGAATAGAAGACCGGAAAGAGAGAGAGAGAGAGAGAGAGAGAGAGAGAGAGAGAGAGAGAGAGAGAGAGAGAGAAAGAGAACATAAAAGAGGGAGCCAATATTGGTTTGAAGATAAAATTGAACACAAAGAAAGGTCTAGAGAACTACAAGACTGCCGCCAACTAACAATTTGAGCATCTGTGGAAAGGCTACCATAAATGCCCTTCCCAGATAGTGAGATCAACAACTAACTTATCCATGGAGCCCTCAACTAATGCCTGTTGGAAACAGGAGCAAACACCCATACATAAACAGAGTCGAACTAGAACCCAGATGCAGATGGAGAGGACAAGACCATGCGGCAGAAACACATAGAGACAGCTGACCTGAACAAGGAGGAGCTAACGGGCAGGCCACTAGACTGATAGCTGGGAAGCCAGCATGGCACTGACTCAGGCCCCCCTGAATATGGGTCTCAGCCAGAAGGACTGA